GGGCATTCTCAAGCCAACTGACTAGACTCTTCAAAAAGGGAAAGCAGGGAGGGAGGTTCAAGGGAGAGGGGGCAAGTATATACCTATGGCTGATTCATGTTGATGTATGGCAGGAACCAACACAATATCGTAAAGCAATTGTCCTTCAATTAAAAGTAATTTTTTTAAAAAAAAAAAGGGAAACCAGAGAAGGCATGAAGACTAGATTAAGTGACACTAAAGAGGCGTTAATAGCTAAATAGAAAATTAATAGAAAACAGTTTGACATTAGCTTTTTTTTTTTTTTTTTGACATTGGCTATTATAAATAGCTAAGGGCTTCCCTGGTGGCTCAGAGGTAAAGAATCCACTTGCAATGCAGGAGATCCAGGTTCGATCACTGGCTCGGGAAGATTCCCTGGAGAACGGAATGGCTGCCCACTCCAGTATTCTTGCCTGGGAAATCCCATGAACAGAGGAGCATGGTGGGCTACAATCCATGGGGTCAGAAAAAGTTAGACACAACCGAGCAACTGAGCATGCATGCATTATAAATAGCTGTAATATAAAATTGTAATATAAATTAGTATATAGTTTATATATAGTATATATTTACAACAATTTATAATTCCATTTTTAAGTTGTAATGTGATTATTTAGGATAATGTTATTTATAGAAGATACTTGATAAAGAATTTAGAAACAAAGTATCATGATGTCTGCAACTTATTTTTAAATGGCACATCAAAAATACACATGTGAGAGAAGTAAAGTAAATGAGGCAAGACGTTAACAACATTGTTAACAAAAATGTTAATAATGGAGGGTAAGGAGTGTTCATAGTATTCTTTCAACTTATTTTTATAGGTTTGAACATTTTCTAAATACAAAAGGTTGTGGAGGGAAAGTTTAGGTGGAAATGAAAAGAGGGAAAAACATGGAATAAATGAGACTTGAGGAATGTGGGGACCAAATGCAAAGTATGGATCTTGTTTAGCTCTTGAGTCAAACAAACCAATTGTAGGAATATATTTATGAGACAATCAGGGAAATTTGAACACTGAAAGATATTTGGTGAAATGAAGTATGAAGCAGATGAAACAAAACTGGCCATATAACGATAATTGTTAAAGCTGGACCATGGTTATATGGGGAATAATTATATTATTCTATTTTGCATGTTGGAAAATTCCAATAATAAGGGGTACAACTCAAAGTTACATACTGATGTTGGACTTTGTCAATGAGTGGGTGAGTGACTAATAGATATCTAAATATATTCAAATGGTTCTCTATTATTAAACAAAAGAATTACACAAAAGAGTGATGTTATGAAATCAAGATTAGAACCTAAGTTACTCTCATAGTAGTAGTTTCAGGTGAGTTTGGGGGGCACTGCAGAGGTGAAATTATGTGGATGTAATTGTCTTTTTTTTTTCATTCTCTCAATTTCCCTAATGCATGAGGCTCCTGACCACCATAAAGGATGCTAGAGCTGGGGCATTATGCTCATCACTTCTGAAGCTGATGGAATGGTATTTATTGCTTCCACTGAAGTTTGAGACTCTTAGGATTGCTTAGTTCACCAGTTCTTCATTTAGTTGGGAGAGCTTTTAAGTCTTGTGTATTCAAAATGTACCATGACTGCCAGTGCTGATTTAACATTCAGGTGAGGCTAAAACAAGTTTTGAAGGAACGATCATTCAGTAAGATGAAAAAGTCAATTCTTTCATCTTATCCAGTCCCCCAATTCCATTAGAGTTGTAAAGGTGAAAAACGGTCCTGTTTTTGCCTGCCTGTTTGTTAGGAGGACCATATAGGTTATAGTCACGTGTGTCTTGGGAAATGATGAGCAGGTGGTTCAGCTCCATAGTGGTCCTGAACAATTTAACTTTTACTCTAAGGCAAAATTTTGCAAACAAGGTGATACTTTCTTTGCTGTGTTTTCTTTTTTGTTTTTTAGAAGGGAATAGAATTCAAATAAAATGTGAATTGAACACATGCCTTAAAAGGTTTTTTTTTTTAAATGAAAAATTAGAGTATTAACTTGTAGTAGATAATATAAACCATAAAGAGGTTTATAAAAAAGCTATGTCTATGAAAAGAAAAACTCCATTCTGAAAATGACAAAACCAAACCTATAAGTGGCAGACTTAATAGGAAAACAAATGAAGCCAGATTTAGAAGGGATATTTAAGAAGTTTTGGAACTAATATCCAGAGTTGCTTAACTTAGTACACAAAAGATAAGGAAAACAATTACACAATATTATTTATACTCGGATTGAAGCTTTCATGTTTAGACTAGATAATATTGATGAAAATAATTCAAAAACTGTAAAGCATTTACAAATATAAAATATGCACACCTGAAAATGCAGTTAGTGTTGCCCTTAGATTTTCTTCTAAGGTGTCTTTATAATAACTGTTTGCCCTGGAGGTTAACATTTGGATATCTGATTTGAGCTTTTCAGTTTGAGTATCTTTACAGTCAGAAGACATTTACAAAGAAACTATGCAAATCCATTTTATCAGATCTTTATACTTGCCTTTCATGTCCGTTTCTGTATCTGTGGTGTATTTAAAATGGCCACATTTTCTTTGCCACCCCTCCTAGTATGTACACACTCCAGTGCACTTTTTACTATGATGGCATGTAAAGAATTTGGGTTGGAAAATTTGACTTCATTTGTTATGATTAATAAAATAACAGTACCTTGTGTTTGTAAAGTACCTTACCTCTTGAAAAATGTTTTCCTGTACCTCACCTCATTGCATCCTTACTAGAAGCTCTGTTTAATAGGTCGTGATATTATACAAGTTTTCAGTCAGGAACACAGAAGCTTAGAGTCTGCATGGCACTAGGAGAATGGCAGGAACTGAACCTAAGTGTTTCAAGCAGCTTAGGTGCTTTCCTCATTATCTGTGGTTTCAATGCCTTATGCTCTTTCCTGATTAGAGAGAATTCTTCTTGATGGAGAAGAACAGACAGAGCTGAATAGTTCTGTTTTCTTTTTATATTTCCTGCTCTTGTTATGTCCCAACATTCCCCCCCCCCTTTTTAAATCTTACTTACTTTTGGCTGCGCTGGGTCTCCGTTGCTGTGTGGGCTTCTGTCTAGCTGTGGCAGTCAGGGGCTACTCTCTAGTCGTGGTGTGCGGGCTTCTCACTGCAGTGGCTTCTTGTTGCCGAGCACGGGCTCTAGGCATGCTGGCTCAGCAGTTGTGGTGCACAGGCTTAGTTGCAGCGTGTGGAATCTTCCCGGACCAGGAATCAAACCCACATCCCTTGCATTGGTAGATTCTTAACCACTGGATCACCAGGGAAGTCCTCCCTCCAACTTTTAAATATCTTTTTGTTCTGAGCACGGCCATTTTGTTATGGACTGTATCTGACTGGTGAATTTGTTTAAAGTTAGAATTACGCTGGGGAGCAACACAGGGAGAAGGGAGAGAATCGTGTGCTCATTGTGTCAGGCGCCGTGCGAGGCACTTCCCCAGGTTATTAGGCAGTCATCTTCACTTAGCAAGATGGGTGCTGTTATCCTCAATTTTTATAGGTGAGGAAAGGAGGCTCAGAGAGTTACTTTGTTACTGTCTAGCACAATAGCCATCTTCTCCCCCAAAGAAGTCTGAATAAGGATTTCATGTGGAAATATCTTCTCTTTGAAGTTATTTCCGTTTTTTCCCCCTGCTTTAAAGGGGGGACTCCATGATGCTTTTTCTTTTTTTTCTGTGTGTTACATTTTCATATTCAGAGAGAGTGATAGAAGTTTAGGAAAGCCTAGGGAATGTTGAATCTGCATCTTCTGCTGGTTTTAGAATTTGGTTTAGGTCACTGCTAAAATGTTACCTGTTAGGGGTAGCACACACATCACTTTTATCTACATTTCATACCTCAGCAAGAACCAGTGTCTCACATGGGTCCTTATGGAGAACAGAGCTCCAAGGTGAGGGGACCCAGGACAGGTAAGGGGGTGCAGGAAGGGGCTGCAGCAGCGGTCCTTGGGCAGTGGTGCGTCGTAGAGGAACGTCAGTGAGGGCTGTGCCCACTCTTGTCACCCCTGCAGCGAAGCCTCCAGGGTTTCATCTAGAATCAGTTCTGGTAGCTGCAGACATCAGTGTGGTGGTGACAGCACTTGTTAAAGAGTTGGGCAACACACCAGTCCCCTCTCAGCCCTCTCCTTAACCCTATGCAGGAGTGATACCTTCTAGAGAGAATCTCTCTTTTTAAAATGAATTTCAACAACTCAAACCTGGTGGTCTCACAAGTGTAAACTGCTAAATGTTATAGATGGAAGGAAATGATTTATAGTATGAAAATGCATGGTCATAAAATAATCTTTGTTTCCCCACTCTCCAGACAATTGCAACACGACTTTCCCAGAGCCCTGATTTTCAGCACGGATGATTTTTTCTTCAGGGAAGATGGTGCCTATGAATTCAATCCTGACTTCCTGGAGGAAGCTCATGAGTGGAACCAGAAAAGAGGTGACAGATTCCTTTCCAAGCTCCTGGGAAATCCTCTTGTGCACATAGATTGTAGCTCCTGCAAAATGAAAAAAAAAATTACGGAAGGAGCTTAATCTAAAGTTCTGCCATGTTTTCCCCTCAAACAGAATGCCAGAGTGTAACCTCCCTAGATTCCAGGAAAAAGAAAATTTTTGATAATGGGTTCTGAAGTAGGTGTTATTAAAGTTGTGTAATGAGGACATCCTGTAATAAAAATAACAAAATATGGAGTACACTCGCCCTTCTGTGATTGTTGCATGTTGTTCACTGTTATATAACATTGTGTTGCAGCAAGAAAAGCAATGAGGAATGGCATATCCCCCATTATTATTGATAATACCAACCTCCACGCCTGGGAAATGAAGCCCTATGCAGTCATGGTAGGAAGAAGTATCATTCTGAATTTTCAGTTCTGGACATTTTGTGAGAAAGTTGAAACATTTGTTCTTTCTTCTTTTTTTGGTCTTAATGATCTCATATTCATTACTAGTAGTTCTTCCAGGGATCAGGTAAAGAGGTTTTATTTTAGCGTTTCTCTGCCGTTCAGTGGCTGAAATTTGCTGAGATGCTAATACTACCTCAGGGTACATTTAAAAAATAGCCCTTGGTCTGAATTCTTGACAGCATTCTGTCTTGGTTGTTTTTCTAAGGGAAGGCATACATAGGAGCATCTGCTGAAACCTGCTGAGAAGTGTTGGACTAGGTGATGCCTCCAGTGGAGCTGTAGATGATGTCCATAGGACAGTTCTGTCTTTGCCACGCTGGGGACTTCAGGACTATGGGTGCTGCTGCTGCATGGGAGTTCCAGGGCAATGAATTTCTTAGTTTAAACACAGATTCAGGAGTAACACTGTAACACTATTAAGATATTAGAATACAAATATAAATGCACGTATAAGGTAACAGTTTAGCTGTCTACTGTCAGGACAGTCAGTCAGATGAATGAAGCAATGTGTACATTTTTCTTTATTTATGAAGTATGTCTGATCTATTTTTCAGACAAATGTCATCTTTTGTGCTAATATGTTTTCATTCCTACTGTGTGTATTAAGAAGAAAAGATCCACAAACATACAGGGAGAGGAAGAAGACAGCTGAGTATTCTCCTTACTTGGCTAATTTTAAAGTGAATCTCTCTAAAACTGGACTCATGGCAGCCTGTTTTTAAGCCTTTTTTAATATTTTGGGCAGAGTAGCTTACATAGAGGTGTGCTTTTGTCTAGATGCTTTCATCAGTTTTACTTAGGCCCAGACTGTGGGACTTTGCTGAATGTAGGAAAGAATGAGCATCAACTTTGTGGTTACTTCAGTTCATGGATCAAACATCCACTTAGGAGAAAAATGGACAGGGATGTGAAGAGTCAGGTTAATTAAGGCACAACTCAGAACCAAGAGACAGGGCTTAACTGAGAGTGGCTTAAGGAAAGTCATTTTACTTTTTATTTTCTAATTTCTAGACATGCACAATCTTTCCCAGCCATCCACAGCTACTACTAAGACACAGAAACTAGATATTTTCCATGTATGATATTTGATATCCCTATGAAATTAGAAGTGTCCATCCAAAGAATGAAGAGAAAAATCCCCTTACTTAGCTCATTTTATTCTGTATTTTATAACACAACAAACAGTAGTCATAACAGAAAGTTCAATTTGAGATAAAATAAGTAGTAGTCAAGTAATGCAAAGAACATTTGATATTTCCATGGAAATGGTAATCATTTTCTAAACTCACGGAAATATAGTACGGTGAATTGAGCCAAACTATGTGGCATGGATGGGAGAGCTACGTTTTGGAGGGAAGAATATGTGAAGTATGTGGAAATCATTTTTATTTCCCAAGCTCTGTGCCTCTGGTACTCTCACTTTGTAAAGCAAGGTGTGAGGACTAGACCAAGGCACTTGACGAAAGTGAATCTACGATAATCACATGTATGGGACTTTGGGAAACCATTGGAGTTCATTGCTCATTCCTATGGACAGGGAATTTAAAACTAGTTCAATTGTGAAGTAATTAGCCTCCAACTAATAAAAATAAATGAAAAAAAAAAACTAGTTCAACTGTCTATCTTTTTAAAGGTTCAAAACAAAGAACTTTTGTCATTTTCCAACATAGTAGATAGAATTACTGAAAATTTATCATTGGGAACCATAATATAATCTGAGAGTGGCTAAGTATGGATATGTACCAACTGTATTTGTTAACATAAATTAAGGCATTGAATTACTGGTTAAACAAAAGGAATGTTAGAAAAGATTTGTAGTTAATGTTAAATGGCAGCATAAACATTCCCAAACATACATACCATGTCTTCAATGTTTTATGTACTTTTGAAAAATCAGGCACTTGAAAATAACTATGAAGTTATATTCCGAGAACCTGACACTCGCTGGAAATTCAACGTTCAAGAGTTAGCAAGGTACTTCTTTGTTTTTCTAGCTCCTCATTATGTATCCTGCTATTTTCAGGTATTTCAGACCGAACAAAAGAATCTTTTCAGGCTGGAAATGGACATGGTAGTTTTCAGGCCAGAAATGGTAATTCTTGGAAATTGATAACTTTGAAATTATTAATGTGAAAGACTTTACTTTGGGGTCAGTTTTCTAATATAATGCTAAATGCTAAATCTTAGCTTGGACTTGGTCCTCAATAAGGACATATTTAACATTCTGCTAAAATGCTTCTTCATTAATGGACATTTGAAAGCACTTTCCTCTGCATGGGATTGCACTTATGAGTGGTGTTTTTGCACTTAGGCTAAACAAAGACCTTCAAATATTGAACAGTCTGTGGTTCATTTATGGTCTAGATGCTGCTTCTAGTTTGTAAAGCAATAAATGTCCAAATAATACTAACTTGTTGATTGAATGCATGGGTTCTGATAATTCACCATCTGTGCTATTTGGTAATGTAACCAGTGAGGTCAGAATTTACTTTTTAGGAATAAGTCTAATTCATCTTATGGTTACAAGTAGATAGTGTTTCCCAAGGGATGTGTGAATCACCTCTGTCAGAATCACCTGAGGTGATTGTGAAACTCCTAGTTCATGGGGCATCCCTGGTGGTCCAGTGGTTGAGAATCTGCCTTCCAAAGCAAGGGATGCTGATTTGATCCCTGGTCCAGAGGGATCCCACGTGCTGCACAGCAGTAAGCACGTGCATCACAACTACTGAGTCTGGGAGCTGTATCCACTGGGTCCGCATGTCACAGCTCCTGAAGCCACACACCTAGAGCCTGTGCTCTGCAACGAGAGAAGCCACTGCAGTGCGGCCCGTGCCCCGCTAGTAGAGAAAGCCCCTGTTCTGCGGCAGCAAAGATCCACCACAGCCAAAAAAATAAATAATACACATTTTTAAAAGTCCTAGTTCATGGACCCCATTCCTAGTTGAAATCTCTGATAATTACTTTTCAAAACTATATCCCCAGTTGATTCTCATGTCCATGAGAATTGAAGAATGTTGTTTTAATAAGGATGTAGAACTATCGAGGACTGACCTAAGTGATTACAGATATATGCATAACAAATTGGCAAACACATAAGAAGAGCTCATGGTGCTGTCTTATGTTTTGAAGCACAGAATTGAGATTTCCAGAAACAGCATTTTTTGATGTTTTAGCTCTTTGCTAGCCTCAGGGTAGCTTGGGGGTGTGCAGGGCCGCATGAAAAACAGTTGAGCTGAACGATAACTGCTTAACATGATGTTTTGCTTTTGTCAGAGTTCCATCTTGAGAATAGGGAGTGCATATCTGTGTAATAATACAGGACTTGTAAAATACAAATACTTGTAAAATATAACTCATTTTGATATGCTGCCTTAACTAAACATTTGCATTTTTTTCCCCACATAGAAGAAACATTCATGGAGTCCCGAGAGAGAAAATACACCGAATGAAAGAACGATATGAACATGATGTTACCTTTTACAGTGTGCTGCACGCAGAAAAACCAAGCAGAGCGAACAGAAACCAGGACAGGAATAATGCATCTCCTTCCAATGGTGCAGGGTACTGGAACGCCTACGCAGAGTTCCCAAACCGGAGGGCGCATGGCAGCTTCACTAATGAGAGCTCCTTTAACAGAAGGGGTGGTTGTCACCACGGGTATTAGAGGCCTCTCTTACAGGCATTCTGAATTTTCCTAAATCAGTTTTTACTTCAATTTTTGGTATTTATTCTCCGTTCAGTGGTAGTCAGAGCTCTAATTCCAGTGTAAATAGTCAAGCCTGAGAGTTTCTGTGCAGAAGTCGTTACATGCCTCTTCAACAAGCATTTGTTAAAGTGATCCTATGTGCATGGTCTGATGCTGGGAATTCTGCTGATTTGATTAAACAAAGTCCTTTCTCTAAGGAAAGAACTAATTCAAAACTGAAGCCTGAGAACATACCCAAGAACGTAATCAGCCACATAGGCTCATTAATGAACTGTTTTTAATATAAAGCTTCAGTAGCCCTTTCTCTGAAGCAGTCTATTTTTTCAGGAAATTCATCTCCATCAGGAAAGTTGGAAAGGTGGGGGAGAAATAGGCAGGAACAATTTTTTAGTGGCATTGCTACTTTTGATCATCTGTGTATCCAAAAATGTGAGTTGTGTGGCTGTAATGATGATACTGATTTTCCTTTAAGATGAAGACACTAGGAAGTATACACCTAAGGGAATATTGTCCTTCACAGTAGACTCTTTGGGAAATTATCCCTTTATTTTAGCAATGTGTCACTGTTAGAAATATCTGTTAAAATCTTAATAGCGATACAAGCTACTGCGGAAAATCAGTGTCGTCGTTTCAAGTCACATCTTGTGTTTTAACTACCACTTTATCAAACAGGGTTAAACCTGTTTGATGACAGGGATAAACCTGTTTGGCTGTTGAGCTAACAGTGTACATAAAACAAGCCTGCCTTTATAAAACACCAATTTTTAAGAGGAATAATTAATCAATTTTTAAAAATTATTCCTATAAACATGTATTATCAGTTGGCAGCTCCAAAGTTTTGGGCGTACAAGGAATGAAGCATCCCAGGATGTCCTCACATGGAAACAGGAAAAGTCATGCTTCTCTTATGAGGAGCAGCCTCAGTGTTTTGTGAGGCTTTAAGACAAAGTTCTACTACAATTCTTATATTAATATTGAATTTATGAAACAAAATCAAATTTTAACAGGTTGGAATCAGATTAATTTGGTGTGAGACCACAGATAAGACCATGTAGGATGTATGCTTTATTTCTTGTTGGCCAACAACTTCTTTCTAATGTTTTGTGAAGCATTATTTTAAGTGTTCTATATAATGGTGCTTTTATGGTTATTAAAAATTATATATGGTATTGCTTTATATGGACTTGTCATTGAATCTAATTTTTGGGGGTTTAAGAAAATAAAAAACTTATTTACCATAAATACCACAGAATTCTACCCTATTAAGAACTAGTTTTTCTATATTTACCCATCTTCTTTAATGACTAGGAGACACAGAGGTAAAGATAAAAGCAACTTTATATTTTACTTGTGTGTATAAATTATTTGATCTCTATACATTAGAAAGACTGTATTACTTTAATATTCCGTATTTAGTACTATTGAAATCTATTCAACATCTTGATGATTACCAGCAATGATCTGTAATTTTTTCAACATTTAAAAAAATTGATGTCTCCTTTGAGTAGCAAAGTTTGCCCAACAAGCTAAAATTAAGTGAATCTGAATGAATCTAAAGCATAGTTTGGCTAAATTCTGTGTATCCAAGCTCAACACACAATAATCTAGTAATAATGATAATCCACATTAACAGTACTCCTGTTTTCCAGACCCCAGATAGTCCTGGGTAATCCTAGTCAACGTGGTCCCTAGGTCAGTGCAGAATTGGGTCAGTCTGGGTGGCTTGACTCATTTAGGATAGTAGAGGTGAAAAGTGTCAGAAAGTCCAGATGAAAGTTCCTTTGCTCAATTCCATAGGAGCAGCTAAAGGATCATAACTCAAGCCCCGCCGATTTACTTCGGACTCTCTGCTTAGGGTTTCTGGTTTACCTAGCCTGGACTGGGCTACTTTGTATTTGTCCTACGCTGAAAGAGCTCAGAATAGTTCCCTGATATATTTGCCTTTTTGGGAGCATAAAATCATTAATAAAATGCCACCAACTTTGTTTATCCCATCTAGAAATGACCTATTTTTTCTTTTAACACCCATGACTCCTGATTTTTTTAAATTTTTGAACACTTAACACTGACTTGTTTTGTGTATTAACATTTGCATCACTCACAGGGTTGGCAGAGTGCTTTATATACACAAGAGGCTCCCATTAAGTGTTTGTTAACACAAATTGCTTTTACCATTTACCCCTTATCATGCAGTATGCATTGCTGACTTTGTAATCATTAAATTATCACTTTTGGGGGGACAATATCCATATATACTCAAGCTTCACATTTTATTTATATAGCTTGGCTATATTATTTACAGTTTATAAAAAGCAGAGTGTATGTTAGATGTCTCCATTATGGGTACTCTAAATGCTAATGAAAAATGAAGGAGGTTATAGCTTAAGTTTTTTCAAGAAATAAAAAGGCTGAATTCTTATAATTCTTTCTGTTCAGCTGAGACTCAAGTTTTATTCCCTGTTCTAGTGTATGGATCATTGGGAAAATGATTAGGATATGAAGACTAAATTGTTTTATGAGAAAAAGTTAAATCATATTAGTAAGACTGGCAGAACACTTAAGTTAGAAAGAATAGCAGAATAGACTATTATGTTAATTTTCAGAAGCGAGAAAGAACATGGGTCACAGTTATGGAAGGAGGGAAATTGCTTTTTAAAAGGATTTATTCTTGGCTTTAAGATGTGTTTATAATGAGATTTAAAAACATGATACTGCATATAAATTTAAGACATACTAAAACACTTTATGCTATTAGCTTCTAGTTTGAACTGCTTTCTCTTTTTCCTCTATTAAAGTAACAAATGAGAATACCATCTTAAATTGAATGGTTCTCATCTGTTATGGTGGTTAGAGAAAACTAGGTTTAAAAGGGACTGCTTGCTGCATCCTGTGATAGGACTAAAAGCAAGGAGAATCAGTACCAATTTGAAAGATTTTCTCTTAAGTTGCAGTCCAGGTGATCATTTTGTTAAGAAATAAAAACAAATTAACACAATGAAGTCTGTTTCTGATTTAAAGTATTTCAACTTTTAATAAATAACTTAATTTTACAGATCAAAATGGCATCAGAAAAAGGAAGTGCACTGAGGGTTCTATTTTTCTTGTAGTCATGCTGACTTAAGGATGAAGGACTGGTTGAAAGAAAACACCACTGTAATATCTTACTCATCCTGACTTTTTTGATCAGGAAAAAACTGTATTAGAACCAACATGTGCATTATAGAAAACTGGTTCATAGTGGGTTACCTCTTAAAAACAAACCTAAAATGGAACTAAACCAAAAAGAATTACACGAGTCAAAATAACTTTACTTAGTTTCCTGTAGTTGACACAATCTAAAAGAAACAGTTGTGTTTACTTCATTTGTAATACTTACAGTGATCAAACCCAGTCATAAACATTTAGAGATTTTCTTGATTAGTTAATATATAGTTACACAATTTTAAGATATATAATTGAAATAAGAATATACCAATGAAGAAAAAGGGAAAGAGCATTGCTGTGATATACAAATACCAGATAAACTTTTAACTATTTCCTTCCTTTCCTCATTATGCAATTTCCAATGTACAGTTTGAAACTGTATATGTTTTACAAACTGGAAAGGTTGAGTCAATAACTAATTTAATTGTCATTTTGGTTTCTGTCGCCTTTGCAGTCTCTTGGATATATTTTTTATTGCACTTCTGTCCTGCATATTAGTCTCCTGTTCTTCAGTCCTGGCTGGGGAATTCTCTCGTTCTTTGATCACAGATGTAGTGTAAGGCCTTTTCAGTCCAACATAATCCTTAGGACTAGTGGGAACAGTCCTGGTGGACCCACTGATAGATGTAAGTTGATTTCCTCCTGCTGAACCAGATAAAAGGGCTTGGGTATTTATCAGTGCAAGTTCTTCATCAGCTATCGAATCACTTTCCAAAACAGAAATGTCGTTAAATTTTTTAAGTGGAGTCATCTGAGGAGAATTCAATTCTTTTTTCTTCATAGGTGTTTCATATTTGGTGCCACAACTCCGTGGTGGCTGAAATGCCTTCTGTGCGGCTGGAGAAACAAATGTACAAATGGGACTAACAGGTGGGGGTACAGGCAGTCTACTCAAGAAATCCAAGGCTCTTCTCTTTTTGCAGCTTTTTGGGTCATCAGTCTCTTTTTCCCCTTTGCCACAAGACTTTGAAGTTACCTGGGCTGATACAGGTGTGCAGACAGACTTCTCTTTTAGCTTACAAAGTGACAATGGACTTTGGTAATTCATCTCAATACTGGGAGAAGACAGCTAATGAAGAAAACAAAAACAAAGAAGTAGCCTATATAATTATGTCCTAATATATGAAATAAAATCAAATTAGCTTTTATTAAAAAATATTTAAAAACACAAATACCACACACTTTTACTCCCCTAGTGGCTATGATTTCAAGAGACATTAATATTATTATTCCAGAAGAAAAGATTGTTGCATAAGAGGATATAAAAATGACATGAAAATAAAGATGAAGAATAACTGTAGTAAAAGCAAAAAGGAGGCAGGAGACATAATTTATGCTTTAATCTTTTTCTTTTTGTTATTAACAGGTTAAACAAAAATAAGCATTTTAAAATCATTTTAAGAACACAGCCTGTGTTCCTACTTTTCTAGTTGTGACTGGAGGCAAATGCTTAACCCCTGTATGTCATAGTTTCCTTGTCCGTAAACTGGAGATAATTTTTATCTCAGGGTTGTTGTGAAGGTTAAATGAGTTAATATATATAACTTAGCAAGTTTAGCTACTAGTCATTAGCCAAAATTACAGACTTTAGCTCGATTTACTTTGTGATTTAAAGAGTTAAATTGAGCTTAGAAACAACCCTAATTATATAGGATAGTCCTCTGAACAAAAAGACATGGGCAAAAAAGTCTTCTCAGTCATGTGTACTGGGAATGCTAAAAATGAAAGCACCCATTTACAAAATTTGCCCCCAAAGAGTGTTACACTCTGGCTTCAATAAACAAGATAAACTTTTCAAATAACCTATACCTATAGGAGGCACTAATAATTAATGACACTTTCTAATTAGGTTTAATTACATTTTATCATGTTTACTAGGTATACATCGGAATATACTGTTGCCTCTCTATAGAGTATTTGTAAAATTTGTTAAATTTAGATTAACTTACCGGAAACTTATTTCTTGAACCAAGGACTGTTTGAGCAGTGGGTGGTGCTGAAGTATAGTCTTTAGTTGGGGTGGACCACTTGGGATTACTTGCATTAAGTAAATGAATCAGCTTGTTTTCTGCATCCTCGCAAAACGTATCAATATTCTAAGAAAATAAATTGGAAAAGCTGGTTTGTAAAATGCAAACCTACACATTCATATGCTTTCAGAAAATGTTACCTTTAAAACCTGAAATAAAAAATGCAGACCAGAAAAAAAATGAGACACTCCAAATTTGATAGCAACTGTCAAATAAATAACCAGTGTAAAAATGCAAAAGCTACATTAGTGATTTAGAAGACCTTAATTGTTTGAGGAAGAGAAGGAAAGAGGGTGTGTGTGTGAGGAAAAGAGATATCCTGGGTCGGGAAGATCCCCTGGAGAAGGGACAGGCTACCCACTCCGTGTTCTTGGGCTTTCCTGGTGGCTCAGCTGGTAAAGAATCTGCCTGCAATGCGGGAGACCTGGGTTTGATCCCTGAGTTGGGAAGATCCCCTGGAGAAGGGAAAGGCTACCCACTCCAGTATTCTGGCCTGGAGAATTCCATGGACCATATAGTCCATGGGGTCACAAAGAGTCAGACACAACTGAGCGATTTTCACTTTCAAAATGAGAACGGCTTCATGTCTAAGAATTAACTGAAATAACATACAGGTTATACCACATGAAACTGTTGTTTCAGAAGTCACAAAAGGTCAAATAGCAGCAGTTTGGTTGGCTTAACCCAATTTATCACTATTGTTAAAATTTAAAATGATATGTAAATGAACTGCCCTTGAAAGTTGTCAGAGAAAATCTTCGATATAAAGAGTAAGTACTCCATAAGGGAACCAAACAGTGAATGTAACCCCCAGTTTACATTTATAGCCCCCAGTTTAGAAGCCATAAATAAATTAGGGTGTTGTTATTCATGATGTACATTGAGTCCAGATAGAATATTATACAAACTTTATATAGCTAATGCTTTTAAAATAGAATTTTAT